AAATGACCTAGCTTTCAAAAGAAGCTTTTAAATAGAATATACTTTAATAAATTATCAATAAATATTATACTTATAAGGTAAGATTAATTTTTAAATATTTTCGTAGTAAATAAAAAGAGAATATCTCGTGAGGAGATTGCAATAGAAATTTGGTTGACATATTTCACTATAAACATTAATTACTAAATGTATGAAATTAAGAGAGAATATACCTTGTCAGTTAATTGCAACAACTTTTTGAATGACATGTTCCACCACAAATATTTATATATATTATATATATATAAGAAAAATCTAAATTGTAGACTACAAAATTTTTTAATTAACATATCTCACTATAGATATTTAATATGACATGATTTTGTATCCAAGTAAATTTATTTTGATTCTTATTTATAATTTTATTGAAGTAAACTTAAGCCTTATTTGTTAAAAAATGAAATTTTTCTTTATAATTAATAACAAATCAAAAGTTTTAATAGTAACTGAGATTTTCTGTTTAAAAAACATATACTGGAGACTTTCCTAAAGAATAAGAAGGTATATATCTAAATCTCTATAATATTATTTGAGAAGTCACTTTCTTATGTGTTGCGCTCACGTTAACTTTCACGCTGGTTGATTACTATGATACCTCTAATGAATTAAAAAGAAAATATTTAAATATTATTAATTCCTTTTAAAAAAATTCAAATAACAATATAAAACTTTACAAAACAATTTAAAAACAAAATTATAAGTCTATATAAATATGGTTTCATAAAAAAGGAAAGTTCACAACATAGTAATATTTAATATAAAGATATTTTAAATAACATAATATATAGGGAAAATCTCCAAAATAACACATTTCTAAGTTTATGTCACAAAAATAGCACTTAAAAACTAAAATGATCAAAATAGCATTTTCTCTTATAAAAATTTTAAAATTTTAAAATTTTTCAAAAATTGAAATCTTATCCCCAAAACCCCACTGCTTAACTCTAATCCCTAAAACCTAAATTCTAAACCCTAAACTCTAAATTAAACCCTGAATCCCACCCTTTAACTCTAAAACCTAATGTCTAAATTAATTTATCATTGGGATATAGGTGTATATTTATCTCTTTTGATAAACATTAAGTGCTATTTTGGTCATTTTTATTCTTAAGTGCTATATTTGTGACAAAAACTTTTTTAGTGTTATCCTAGCAATTTTCTCTAAAATATACTTTTGAAGTAATAAAATACTTTATACCTATATCTTCTTAGATGAAAAACAATATTTATATATAATGTGATTCCATAAAAAAAATTCACACAACTAATCTTGATATTAGAAAAAGAAATATTTTTTCTTTAAAAAATTAATTTTAAACAATAAATATATATATTTTCAAAGTAATTTTTTTTATTGACATTTTTTTTATAATTAATATTCGTGAAATACATTTTTAATTATTTTTAGTATATTTATTTTACTTTAATATCTTACAACTACAGCAAAAAAATATAAATTCTATTTTGTTTATGTAATATAATTTCTCAAAAACAATTACATTTTTACTGTATATTTTAACAGATATTAAAAAAAATAAAAATAATTTTTAATAATAAATGTTTTTGATCAAATAACTAAAATTCTTCTAGAATATCATAACACTATATAATTTAACAAAGTAGATATATTATATTTTAATAGTTAAAATTATATGTTTTCTTAATAACTCTTTTGATTTTTAATTTTCTGTTTTTATGTTTGTGAAACTTAATATGACCATAATCAAAATACTTAAGCAAATCAGAATCCTTATTTTAAACATTATTTAAAATAAATTTCAGTTTACCGTCCAATCAATCTAAATATCGTAAATATTGATATGTTTTCACAAGGTTCCAAAAATTTACTAGTTACTTATGTATGTAATTTAGAATCAGACAGTTTAGTTTTTATTTTTTTCTTTCTAAGCACAAAAAATCGTAAGTTACACATAATCTTACTAGATATACTTATATTTCTAAGATAACAACCAGCATAAATGCAAATAAGACAAATAATCAAAAATTTAATATATTTAGAGTATAAAAGATTATAGTTGAATTCAGAGAATTAGATAGAATATAATATATTCAAATGATAACTAAATCAACCGTAAAAACAATAAAACTGACGAAATATAACATATCTAAAATTATATATAATTAAATTAATATAATATTATTAATATAAACTATACCTAAAAATTATAAAATAATTCAAAATTTAAAGTCAATATCAATCAATTATTATAAGATATTTATTTTATAAATATTTATGTTTGTGCATGAGCACGGAGAAATCACCTAGTTAAATTTTGTTTATTGATTACATGCAGATATATGACTAACTTCCTAAACGTGAATTGTAATTATCTTCTTATTAATTATAAGATACCGAAATATCAGTAAATTCATAAAAAAATAGATACCCATGTAATATCATATCATATTGTAATTAGACTACTTAGACATATAATATCACATTAATAATGTGAGGTCCAACTTAAGAATCTTACCAAGAAGAAGTTGTGATGTTTCTGCATTAATAAGATAGATAAAATACGATGATATATTATCTGAACATTATATGTTAGAGATAGTGAAAAAAAGAGAAATGAAAAAAATACAGATAGAGAGGAAAAGATGGAGGAAGATAAATGTCTATCTGAATATCGTGGGCTAAAACGTTAGGTCAAGACGTGAGCGGCGACTTTTCTTGCGGACACCGTCGATTTGCAACCCTAGCTCCGGCCGTCGTCTCAGACGATGCCAAAGGCGGTTCCTCCTCTCCTTATTCTTGTTTTTCATTGCTCTCCTCTTCGATGTCCATCCTCAATCAAGATGCTCGACACTCTGTGCTGCCGTGACCTTTGCGAAGCTTTTTTGGTTGACGGAGATGGCTCATGGCTTATTATGGTGTGGCGGCGAGACTCAAGGCGGTACGAAGGAAGTGAGAGTCGGCTTTTATGGTTGTAGAACTCGTCAGATCCGGTTTTCCTTTTCGAGATCTTTGACGAAAGATACACGACATCGGCGCATGACTTTGTGTGACGAATCTTCCAACTCGGATCTACCTTCTCTATTGGCGGTTAGATGGTTGGAGGAGGTTCTCAACGGACGGCATAAAGAGGTTTGTTCTTCTGCTTCCGGAGTCGACTCATGGTGGAGCAGTGTTCCCAACACAGGTATAGCCCCATGGTTGTTCCAGTGACATGAGCTCTGCCCCTTTGAAGCTGTGACTTGGTGATCCTAGTCTTTGTAAGCTGACGTCAAGGCCCGACCATTCAATCCGGTCAGTCTTGTTTGGTCTATGGATAATGGTTGGAATGGTGGTTTACCAGAGGGATGGTGTTTGATCGATATGCACCAATGGTGAGGTATATTAGTACACGAACTGAAATCTAATAACTAGAAGACTAGTAGTTTGGAGTTAATGGAATCGGTTATGCCTCATGGTCCTCTAGTGTAATTGTTGTCTTCACTTTCTTACAAGTGAGCGTTGTGGTAATGCGGTTATTTTGGTTGGTGATTCTTCTTTGACCCTGCTTAAATAAGGATGTTGTTGGTTATAAGCTTGGAGTGAGTTACTTGATCTAGCAGTCTTTCTTCTATGGGTAATGGGTCTGGTGTTTGCTTTATGGTTGTTTCTTTTTCCGTGAGTGATTCCAGAGACGTTCGGTTGGCAAGGCTTTGTCGTTGAGTCTTGGGTGAGCTTCTATCTAAGGAATTTGGACGGTTATGATTATGTCACATTCTTATCTGAAGGTTGTGGACCAAGTGCGGTCTCTCAGGTTATGAAGTCTCCGGTTCTTGGTTCTTGGACGTTATCGTTTGGCGGGCGAGGAAGCAGCGATAAATCATGGTTTAGGTGTAGAAGTGGGAGTTATTGGTTGGTGGGCTAGAGGCAAGAACGGTAACTCCCAATCATCGACTTATGCTTGGTTCAAAAGTCTACTGAGTTGTTATGTTATATGCTCATTCGTAGATGTTAACTGTATATCTGGTTTTACTAATAGTGTAGATTTCATGTTTTATATCCTTCAGTTGCTCCGGTGTGAGTTTTAGTTGCCGCCTTTATGTGGGTTTTTGATTATGGGGCTTTTCGTGTGGTCGCCAGCTTATGTATTAAAAGTTGTGGTTTTTACTTTGGAATGAAGTTTATCAATGAAAAAAAAAAAGATTGAGGAAGATAAAGACAGAGATTAGGAAGAGAGATAAAGGAAAAGATAGAAGGAGAGAAATTTTTTTGTCTAATAACAATTATATTTTATATTTCGTAAATAAGATTAAACAAAATCTTTTAGAACTGCTGTACATATTCAATGTTTTTAGTTCTACAAAATTTAAATTTTTACATACCAAAAAAAATCTATGTTTTTATAGATATTTTCTTTTTGAAAATGTGTTTTGATAGATATTTAAAAATTCAAATTCAAATAAGTATTTTTCAAACTTATAAAGTTAGTTAAAAATAAAATGTGAAAGTGAAAAAGGCAAAATAAAAACTAATACATATTTAGCCTAATGCTATGGTTTTTTTTTTGGTCAAAACCTAATGCTATGGTTATATTCTTGATTTTTGGTTTGTTTATGTCACTTATGTGCATGTCTGCCAAGTTCCTCAAACATGAATATCCATTGGTCTATTTCGGGTTTCTAAACTCAACATTTATTACTTTATTAACTCGTATGAAGAGACTACACAGTATAATAGATATTTATGTGAGGATGAATAATATATAATTAGTATAATATTTTCAATTAATGAGTTTGGTATCAAATCGAAATTATTTTATTTTTGCGTCTGTAGAAAAAAAAAATTTATATAAACGCAACAAATAATATTAAAGTAGGGGGTCAACCGTCCAAATTGGTAATTTTTTTTTGTTAGAAAGTAATAAAAATTGCCAAAACATCATATAAAGAGAAAGGTGAGGCTCCATTCTGATAGAGAGATCGAAACTAAGAGTGATAATAAAACTATGGAGATTAAGGTCGAACCAAAAGCTATGGCGATTAAGGTCGAAGAGAAAGCTATGGAGATTAAGATACATAGAGACATACCAGAGGCAACCCTGAAGAAAACGAAAGAAGAAGAAGAGCAACCGCTAAGTCCGGCGGCGCGTATATTCCACGCACCGGAGTTTAATTGTTATGTAATATCGGTGATTGGTGTTAAGAAGAAGATCGAGCCAAATGTGGTTATTGAAGGATTAAAGCAAACTTGGATCAGACACCCTCGTTTCTCCAGTAAAATGGTCAGTTCAAACACTTTTGCATACACATGCAAGTATATATACGTCTAATATGATCGTAGCTTATATATAGTTTTATAGTATATATAAACTTATATGGTTGTATAACTTTTCTCTATGGCAAGAAAAAATAATTTCAACTCTGTTTGATGGATAGACCTTTCCAATAAGTTTGACTGCTTTATTTTTCATTTATTTTTCGTGATCGTCGAGTCTGGATAGTGTTTCTTAACCAGTGATCTTTTGTAGGCTTTTTTAAAACATTCTGAAAGTTTCTGTTAGTTGAGCCAAAACGACTGTATATGCTTTTCTTTCCCTTTTGAGCAACGCTTTTCTTTCCCTCTTATATACAAGAGTTAGTATAATCGTGTTCATCTTATTTATTTTCTAAATTACTAAATTGTTATAATTAATAGATTCAAAGATAAAGTATAGTGAAATCTGGCTTAGAAAGGCAGATAAAAACTAAAAAGGCTAGACAAGAATAGGAAAAGGCAATTAAAAGTTGTAGGTGAACAAAATATAAAATTCTTAAAATGGAAGAATAACGTTCCATTTTCGTTATAAAATTTTAAAAATTGTAGGTGAGGGAAATAAAAATTTGAAAATTTATTCCAATATGGGAGAATATTGGTCCCGTCTATTTATTAGTTTGAGATATTTACGTTAGTTTTAACATACATTTAAACAATTAATTACTTGTAGGTCAACAAAACAAACAAAAGTAAACAAACACAAAGATGGGTTCGGACGAACGTGGTCGTCAACGAACATATCATCGTACCAGACATCCGAACCCAAAACATAGAGAACGCAAACGCAGACAAGTTTCTTGAGAGTTACGTCTCCGACCTCACGTTGGTCCCTTTAGACACCTCAAAACCGTTATGGGAGCTTCACCTACTCGATTTGAAAACCTCCGATGCTGAAAACGTGGCCGTTTTAAAATTTCATCACTCTTTAGGGGATGGTATGTCTCTAATGTCCCTTGTCTTCGCTTGTATGCGTAAAACATCGAACCCCGACGAGCTCCCGACTCTACCGTACCAAAACCGATCGTCATCTGGTTCTTCACGGTTAACAGTCGGTTCAAGGAGTGGTTTTCGGTTCTTGTGGTTATTTACGGTTATATGGTCGGCGATTATGTTGGTTTTAAATACAATTTGTGATGCTTTGGGGTTCATTGCTACGACAATGTTCGTTATGGATACTGAGACACCTATCAAAGGGGATTACCGGTTAAGTAAGCCTAAAAGGATGTCTTTGGTTCATCTTACCGTAAGCTTAGACGACATAAAGCTTATCAAGACTACCATGAAGATGGTAAGATCTCTAGTATTTAACATTTGTGTTGTTGATTTAAGTTAATTTAGATATATATTATCAATTTATTTTTGGTGTACTAGACTGTCAACGATGTTGTACTTGGAGTAACTCAAGCTGGTCTCTCGCAATATATAGAGAGAAGATATAGTACGTACTAAAACTCTTTTGACATACATTATAAAATGTTGCATATTATTAACTATTGATTTTTTTTTTTAATAATCTTATGATAAATTAGCAGAAGAGAAGAAGAAGATAGTAGGAGACGATCTAGAATCTAAAAGTAGTTCACATGAGATTCCTAAGAGAATAAGGCTAAGATCAGCTCTACTAGTAAACTTAAGACCCACCACTGGAATCCAGGCAATTCAATTCTTATAAACTCACTTACCTACCACTTCCTTTTATATTAAAGACGACCATATAATAAACATATTTGCTGGTAACAACAGGATCTGGCTGATATGATGGCCAACGGATCTAAGTGTAAATGGGGTAATATGATCGGGTACATAGTCTTTCCCTTCTCAATCGGTTTACAAAAGGATCCGTTAGAACATCTTCGGAGAGCCAAAAAGATCATTGATCGGAAGAAAAACTCGTTGGAAGCTGCACTAACCTTCATCGTTGGTAAATTCATGATTAAAGCATTTGGTGTTAAGGTTAGTTTGAATTACAGTCATGATTAAACCCAGCTAACTCCCATTTATTATTGTTAGTTGGTTGTTGATCTAATCTTATGAATGTAGGTGACAGCTAATCTAATAAATAGAATGTTGTCAAACACAACGATGTCTTTTTCGAACTTGATTGGTCCTATTGAAGAAATTAGCTTCTTTGGGCATCCTATCACTTACATTGCCCCAAGTGTTTATGGCCATCCCCATGTAAGATTCTAGCTAGACCATTGTATTTTACGTTATTGTTTTCTTTAAAAAAAAATGGTTAACAAGGTTTAATGAACTCATGGGTCTTTGATTAGGCTTTGACGATGCATTTCCAAAGTTACATGAACAAGATGACGATTTCCTTGACAGTAGATTCTACGGTCATAAATAATCCTCACCAGCTACTTGGCGACTGGGAGGAATCTCTAAGAACCATCAAAACTGCTGCCCAAGAAAGAGGCTCCACTCATCAGTAGATTGAGCTAAATCTTTATTCTTTTGTACCAGTACTGGCCCGAACCTTTTCAATGCCTAAACGCTTTTTATTTATTTTTGCTTCTACTTCATAACGTACTAGAAAATATATCAAGTAAATAAATCCTAAACCATGAAAGAAAATTGTGATAATATACTACCGAGATGGGCTTAAAATAAATATATTAGGCCGTAGAAAATTTTGAAAATGAGGTTCATACCATGCACATGACTAGGAAAACGCATGACACAACCATTCTACGAATCCGGAGGACGGGGCGGTATGTGCTTCGCAGAAACGAGGAATATGTTTTATGCAGGAGAACTTTGTGAGTGCAGACGTGATCCGCAAAAAAGAGGGAGAGATAAAACTCAAATATTCTGTCCCTAAAATTAATTATATCTTGGCGGCTAAAGTAAGTGCTTGCTCAGCTTCACGTCAGACCCGGGCCTGGCCTGTCAGTATCATATTACCAGTTTTCACATCTCTATACATCAGATATTTTTCTAATTTGTTTAGAACTGGATCAAAGTTTCTGGTTGTTATTTGAAAGATAGCCTAGGTATTTATTGTAACTAAAAGATAGACAAGTTTTTTTCTATTTAAAGATAGAGTAGTTGCTCTATCCATTAACCATCATTAAGAATTTATGAAATGATTCCAACGCAAACCTTATTATTTTTCTCCTTGATTTGTGTTAACTTTTGAACCAAAAAAAGTATGTTAACTTTTGAATAAAAATATATGTTAATTTTTGAACTGAAAAAAATTCTTAACTGATTTTGTTGAATTTAATTTTAGGCGTTGTCTAAGTTACATGAATAAGATGACAACTTGTTAAACAAACAATTGTATTTGAATAATTAACAAAGAAAAATCCCTATAAAATGTATCACGATGATGAAGATGATCCTTAGAAACGAAAACATTCTTCCGAAATTATCATCTCAAAGAGATTGTTCTTTCTAAGCCAAATTTTTACAAAATGTCTCAATAAAGGAATATAGTATAATTCATTCCTTCTATATAATATTGTTTTTCAATCTTTATTCCTTCAAAATAACTGTCATGTTAGCTTTTTTTTTACTTAAGACTTTCAACACTTCTCTTCTTAGTTTTCCATTCAACTTTTTTCTTTCTCTTCTTAAAGTAAATCCTCGGTGGCTTATCAATATCTGTTGCATTGAAATGAAACTTGTCCTAAAGCTTCAAGTGAGGAAACTGCTGAATCAACCAACAAAGAGACATGTTCTCACGAATTTTCATATATGTTTTGATAGACCTTCCAAGTTATCAAAATCTCCAAATGTCCTTATGCATCATAAAAAGTATCAAAGACAACATCTTGTTCAGTGACAATCTTATCATTGACCTAGAACGAACGAGGTAAATCAGAGAGTTTGTGATCTTTCCCAATAATTGGTTTTAGTTGAGACACATGAAATACATTGTGAATCTTCGAATCATGAGGAAACTTCAACCAGTATGCAATGGCTCCCACTTGTGCCAACATTTCAAAAGGCCCAAAATACTTAGTGGCTAACTTTTGATACAACTTCTTCACAACAGACTGTTGTCTATAACGATGTAGCTTGAGAAATACCATATCTCCAATCTCAAACACCAACTCTCTATGATGCTTGTCAGCATTGGTTTTCATACGATCATGAACTAAAACCAAATGATGATTAATCTGAGTTAGCATCTTATCCCTTTTCTTTAACATTAAATTCAACTCAAATTGGTTGTTGACCCTTCTTTAAACCTCAACAATCTCGGTGAATCCCTGCCATACACCACACGAAAAGGAGTTGTTCTCAGAGCGGTATGAAAATTTGTATTATACCACAGTTCTGTCCAAGACAAAAGAAACGAATCCACAATTTATGATAAGAAGAAGCAAAGCATCTCAGGTAGGTCTCGAGACATCGGTTCAACACCTTATTTTGACCATCCGACTCTGGTGAAAAGCCGTACTATACTTCAAAATAGTACCTCCCAATAAAAACACGAACTTCCAAAACGAGCTCAAGAAAATTATGCCTCAGTCCGAAACAATAAACATAGGACATGACCATGCAGTTTGACCACTTCTCGCATGAACAAATTAGCAACATTAATGGCAGTGAATGGATGTTTTAGATAAAAAAGTGCAAATTTGCTTAAACAATCCACCACTACCAGTATGACATTAATCCCTTAAGAAAAATGCAAACCTTTAATAAAATTCATAGACAACGCTTCTCAAAGCTGATTAAATATTAGCAATGGTTGAAGTAAACCCGCTGGTGATAGTGTAGAATATTTATTGCGTTGACAAACATGACAAGCAGTTACATACTCTTGAACATTCTTCATCATATTCGTCCAATAAACACCCCTTGAATCTTCTTAATATCTTTAATACTCTTGATTTACCACCAATCAATCCGTCATGAAACTCTTGAAAAATGAGAAGAAGAAACAATGATGTCCAGGAAATAACCAACAAATCTTTAAAGAACACTTTCCCATTCTTAACTGAATAGCCTTCTAACCTCTTGCTACCCGACTGAACTACTAATAACAACTCCTGGATTTAAGGTTCCTCTCGTATCTCAGCCAACAAGTCCTGCAGATTAATATTCATTGGAAGGGTGAAGGAAGCCAAATTAAATGATGATATTATTCTTGATAAGCCGTCAGCAGCTTTGTTCTCTATTTCCGGCTTATACACAATTTTAAAATCATAATCCAACAACTTAGTCGACCATTTTTGATAATCCAATGATATATCTCTCTGTTCCAGTGAAAAAATTAAATTTTTTGATCGGTATGCATTACAAACGTCTGCCATTTTTTCATAGCTTCAGTCTTCGAAGGATCTATAGCCACATCATCAGAACTGAGCAAATATCCCAAATAATTCACCTACTATTGACCAAATAAGTATTTCTTCTTGTTGGAAAACAACTGATGTTTCGAGTCAAAAACGCTTTCCAAATTCTTAACATGCTCACCAACTGATTTGCTGTAAACAAGGATATCATCAAAGAACAGAAATTTGAACTTACGAAGATAAGGATGAAACAACTCATTCATGAGTGCTTTGAAAGTTGCATAATGACCATCGGATGTTCTGAAGGCTGTCTCATGAATGTCACTTTCTTGCATTCTGATTTGGTGATAACCAGGCCACAAATCCAGCTTAGAAAATATATGTGCTCCAAACAATTCATTAAGTAGCTGATCATAAAAATATGGAACTTATCAACTATTGAGGCTTTATTCAATGCTCTGTAATCAATGCAAACCCGCCAAGTACCATCCTTTTTCTTTTTCCAACAACTTTGAGCTAGAATAAGGACTGTGTCTAGGATGGATGATGCCCGATTGCAACATTTGAGAGATCATCTTTTCCATTTCTTCCTTATATGTGTAATGGTATCTATAAGGATGGACACTTATGGGTCCAGCTCCTGTTATTAAATTGATAGCATGCTCTATGTTTCTCAGAGGCGGAATTTGGGTTGGATCAACAAAAAAAAAATCAAGTATCACACGAATAAAAGTTCTATCGGAAGTGAATTATCCTGTTGATTTTCTGTGATATTAACCCGGAAGAACTCAATGTGATTTCATTATATTGAGACTTACTACACTGCAATCCCTTGTTTGAGATGTTTTAATTATGTAGGGACGAATCACCATGTAACATAACTCTTTTCCTTTTGATTATGAAAGACATCTTGTGTGTCTCCCAATCGACTTCACACTTGCCCAAGGTGCGTAGCCACTGCACTCCTAATATCATATCCACTTGACCGAGTTTCATCATGATAAAATCTTCAGTGTCCTCCAATGATGTCAATTCAGTACCATTTACTGTAATTTCAATTTCGAGTAATATCTCTAATCTTCTATCTCGAACTGGTGTAATATTCAACTTCTGAAACCACTTTAGGAGACAAGAAATTGTGAGTCCCCCCACTATATAACATGACCAAAATATTTATCTTTCCAATTCGCCCCAAACTTTTCTTGTTGTTAGTGAGAGACCAAAAAATGAAGCTAATTATATCACCATTAATTATGTAGCAACTTCATTTTCATCCTCAAAAGTGTCTAACCGTTCTTCATTATAGATCTCAACTTCACACCCAAAAATCACAGTTAACACATGTAAACCCAAACATCTGCATTCAGCACTGTTCCCTCAAAACTCATAGCCAACAAATCAAATTTATTTCGTTCAGAAACAAATGAAAAAACCTCTTTGCTCTATTGATCCACACATTCAGATTGACTCCCAAAACATTAGGTATATCCACTTTTTAGCAATTCCTTAGACATAGTCAAATTATTAGTGATTCCCCGATAACCTAATGGATGATCTTCCAAACTTGAAGCTGGAATCAAGTGATGTACCTGACCTTGTTGGATCGATGTCCCTGCCACTGATTTCCCGACGGCCTTATCCGCTTGATGCCAAGATTTAATTCGCAAAAGCGACTATGTAATAGTTTCCATGCGAGTTACTAGATCCTCGTTTGATTTTGTCTATCGGTTCTAATATTCGTTAACCACTTATAATTGTTTCTTCAATTATTCGATGTCGTTGTAAATCATCTCCAATTCATTATCCAATATCAACATGATCACCGATCGTTGCCGCGTAGATCCGACCGAATCACCGTACCAATTGTTTAAGTAAAAAATTGTATTTGAATGATTAACAAACAGAAATCCCTATCAAATTCACCAAGGTGATGAAGATGATCCTCAGAAACGAGAACACCCTCTCGTAACTGCCATCTCAAAGAATTTGTTCTCCCTAAGTCTAGTTTTACAAAATATCTCCATAAAAGAATACAATACAATTCATTCATTCTATATAATATTGTTCTTTAATCATTATTTTTCTAAAGTAACTACTATGTCAGCTTCCTTTGACTCAAGACCTTCAACATTTCTCGTCTCAGCTTTCCGCTCAACTCTTAAAATAAGATCTCAATGGCTTGT